ATACAAGTTGCTGACATGAAAACCCATGCAAAATATAATCTTAAGTTTTGCCACCTATACTTTCCTTGTTGAAAAAAAATCCTTACTACATAAAAAGTTCATAAATCATAAGGAAACAAATAGCAAAACTCGTATAACAACTTTTAGCTTGACTTTAAACATGTTGTTCTCTTTTATTTTGATGAATTAATGGGCCTACTATATATGGATGAAAAATTTGAGATGTTTAGTTTCTAACCCAACATAATCACAATAAAAATCCACATGTAGATCTAGATATGAACCAAACAATTCACAAAGATCTAATCTAATAAATTGTAATTTATTAACCTAAATATCTAGAATTAGTCCAATCAATTTCTCTGGGATCATTTTATTTACAAACCTTGAAATAGGCTCAATTTCTACCTTTAATAGATCCTTTAATGATGCTCGCTGATTCATATTATCCCCTCTCTCCTAAAAAAGATTTAACCTCGAATCATCACTTTATTAGATGTTGACTCACTTTTGGAAAACATATTAACCTCATTTTGAAACTCTGATTTTATTTTTATTTTAATTAATATATTAAATTGTAAAAAACCATATCGTGAAAAATCTTTTTCTTTTTTAAACTTTTATTGCAACTAAGTTCTAGTTGTGACAATAATGAAATAACAAGGAAAATAAAAGATAAAATAATATAAACTAATTTTAAAACTTTGCTATGATACTAACTAATATGAACGCCATGGATATAAAGATCTAGAAACCCATAATGAAATTGAATTTAATTTTAGAAATCCAGGTTTATGATTGAAAATGTTATAAATCTTGGTTAATTATTTGATAAGTTATAATAGTTCTATGAGGAACTAGGAGTAAGAGCAAACTCTCACATATAAGTTGTATTTCTAAACAATTAATCAATCTCATTAATTTTTTAAAAACCTAAATACAAGCTAAATAACCCTATTTATACTAGGTAAAAAGTCCTAAATAATGCTGAAGAAAAGAAAAGAAATTCTAAATAAAAACTAGAAAAAAACACCTAAATTAACTAGGAAACTAAAACAATTCTCATATAGTAGTTTATGGACCTTATTGCAAGGTCTTCTCACACTCTAACCTTGTATAAAAATCCTTTGATAAAATGTCAACCTAATACAATGGTTAGATTAAAAATTATGTTTGATAGAATGAAACTATGCGTTAGATAAAAAAAACCTAAAATGACTTCTAGTATCCTTGAATGATAAGGAAACCCTGTCAATAAGAAAATTCACATAAGAAAAGAAAAAAACAAGTTGTTGGCATGGAAAACCTTGCCAAAATAATCTCAATTGATGCCATATATGTTTTCCTTGTAGAAAAAAAATCATTTTTAAATAAAAAATCTACAAATCATAAGAAAACAAATAGTAAAACTCATATAGTAAATTTTAATATGACTTTAAATAAGTTGTTCTATCTTATATAGATGAATTAATAGGCATATCATATGTGAATAAAAATATTGAGATGTATAGTTTCTAGCATAACTAAAATAGTAGTAAAATTCTAGTTATAACTCTAAATATGGATGAAACAATGCATAAAGGTTTAGTTCAGCAGATTGATAATTTGTTAACATAAATATCTAGAATAAGCTTACTCAAAAGCACATAAAAAATTCTACCTATAACTTCAAATATAAACCAAACAATACATAAAAATCTAATTTGATAAATTTGTAACTTGTTAACCCAAACTTCTATAATCAATCTAGTCAATGTTTTTTGGATCCTCTTAGTTTTAAACCTTATAATAAACCTAATTGGTACCCTTAATGAGTTCTTCAATTATGCTCGTTAATTCACATCATTCCTCCTTACTTGGATTGAACCTCAAATCATCACCCTATATGCATGTTGACTTAATTTTAAAAGATACATTAACATGATTTTGAGATTTTGATCTTTCTTTTCTTTTTTATATATAAATTATAAACAACTAGATCATAAAAATTTTTTTTTAAACTTCTACCACAATTAGATTCTAGATGACAATAATAATGAAATAACATGAATACTAAAAGATAAACCAATATAACATAATTTCAGAACCTTGTTTTGATACCAAATGATGCGAATCTCATGAATATAAGGACTTAGAAACCCATAATTAAATTAACCTTTAACAAGAAAGCTAAATTTAGGTTTGTGAATTAACTTAACACATCGATAACTTATACAAAAACAACAATACTATAAGTAATTGAATAAAGAGATACAAACAAAAAGTATAAAAGACACAATAAAACTTTTTTATATATATATAAGTCAAAATAGTTCCATTATGAATCAAGAGTAAGAACAAACTCTCCTACACAAGTTTCATTTCAGAATAATCAATGCATCTCTTATTAAAATAATTTTTTAAAATATATACAAGATAATAAACTTGTTTATACAAGGTGAAATGTCCTAAAAAATGCTAAAAAAAAATAATACTAAAAGAGTTCTAAGTAAAATAGAAAAAAGATTCCTAAATCAATTACGAAACCTTAGCCAAAAATTCTAATTATTGCCATCTATGCTTTCTTTGTAGAAAAGAAATTGCTATTAAATAAAAGGTTCATAAATTATAAGGAAACAAATAATAAAACTTGTACAACAATTTTTGGCTTGACTTCAAATATGGTGTTCTATCTTTTTTTGAACAAATTAATAGGTTTATCATATATGGATGAAAATATTGATATGTCTTGTTTCCAACCTAATTAGAATTATAAAAAAAATTCTATTTGTAGCTTCGGATATAGACCAAATAATATATAAAGGTCTAGTTTAATAGTTTTGTAATTTATTAACCTAAAAATCCAGAATCAGCCCAATCAGAATCATAAGAAAAGTCTACCTGTAGTTCCAAATATAGACCAAATAATATATATAGATTTACAACTTGTTAACCTAAATATTTAGAATTAGCCCAATCAATTCCTCATGAGTCATTTTAGTTTCAGATCGTATAATAAGTCTAATTGGTATCTCTAATAAACTATTTGGTGATGTTTGCTGATTTATATCAATCTCCCTCTCCTCAAAAGGGTTCAATCTCAAGTCATCATGTTGCTTGGATATTGACTTGTTTTGGAAAACATTAACATGATTTTGAGATTTTGATATTCATTTTTTTTAATATATAAATTATAAACAACTAGGTTGTAAATAATCTTTCTTTTTAAACTTTTATTGCAACCAAGTTTTAGATGAAGATAACAATGAAACTAAAAGATAAAAGGATATAATATAATGTTAGATTTTTTCTGATACCAACTAATGCGAACCCTATAAATATAAAGATTTAGAAATTCATAATCAAATTGACCATTCTTAAGAAAGCTAAATTTAGGCTTATAATTATATTTAGCACATTTATAATTTGTATTGAGACACCGAGACTATAAGTAATCGAACCCCAACCCAATGTTTATAAAAAGACACAAATGAGAAGTATAAAAGATATCACAAATCTTGGTTAATTTTTTGATAAATTAAAGAAGTTTAATTATGAACCAAGAGTAAGAGCAAACTCTCATGTATGAGTTTTTTTTTGAATAACCAATCAATCTCTTATTAATGTTTTTTTAATAAAAATACTCAAATACAAGCTTAATAACCTTATTTATACTAGGTAAAACATCCAAAACAATGCTTGAAAAATAATAAAAATAGTTCTAAATAAAATAAAGAATATAATCCTATATCAACAAGGAAACTAATATAATTACTGTATACTAATATCTAAACCTTATCACTTCTCAATTTTTGATTATTATGAAATTTTATTCTTATATAAAATAAGATATCTGGAAGCTCATGGTACAATTTAGACAAATATAACAGTCGAATTGAAAAATTATGTTTGGTACTATACATTAGAAAAAATAAGACTAAAATCATTTCTAGTGTCATTGAATGATAAATAAATCTTACCAATTAAAAAATTTACAAAATAAAAGGAAACACAAGTTACTAACATGAAAAACCTTGCCAAAATAATTGCAATGGCTGCCACCTAAGCTATCCTAGTAGAAAATGAATTTTTACTAAATAAAAAGTATACAAATCATAAGAAAAAAATAACAAAACTCATACAATAATTTTTAGCCTAATGTCAAATAAGTTATTTTTTTTATTTAAATGAATTACTAGGTTTACTATATATAGATGAAAATTTTGAGATACCTAGTTTACAATCTAGTTTGAATTAAAGCAAAACTCTAATTGTAGTTTTAGATGTGGACCAAACATCACATAAAAATCTAGTCCAATAAATTTGTAACTTGTTAACCGAAATATTTAGAATTAGTTCAATTAATTTATTTTAGATGTTATTAGTACCTTTAATAAATTATTGTTCAATTAATTTCTTTTGGATGTTATTAGTACCTTTAATAAATTATTGGTTGATGTTCATTCATTCACATAAGTGAATTTGCAAAATTATCCCTTTAAATATAAATAATTTTTTTAGGTTAGTATATGGATTCTTATCATCTTCTATACTTGTTTAGAGAGAAATTAAATAAATAAGGTTTTAATAAATAAGTAAAAATCCAACTGTTAAATTATTTTCATCCAATAAAAATATATTTAAATTCAACCATTATTTTTCTTTTAAATGATTACTTTATTCTAATGGAAAAATGTTTGAATTCAACAATTATTTAAAAAAAAAATGATTGAAAGTCATTACAATTAAACTAAAGTAGTGGTTGTTGGACAATCGAGGGGAAAAGGCGAGAGAAAAATTACAAGTATTGAAAATGCTCTTAATATCGAAAGACTCTAAACAATAGGACCAAAGAAGAAAGTAATGTGAATATAGAGGATAAAAATACCAATCATTCTAATTGGTCCGTGTGATTCACGGTCAAAGCAACGTGTCAAGAAGAATAAAAAGCAGGGAGGGGGCGGAGGCGGGAGGCAGGGACAGGGCGTTTCATTTTCAAACCGACAACAAAAAAAAGAAAAGAAAAGGTTCCTTTCGTGTATCTTGGATTTCGTGCACGAACCATTTTTCTCTTCTATTATATTTTTCTCTCTCAGAAAAAGGCAAAAACACTCTTTTTTTTTTTTTTGGCTTTTGAAGTTCGAAGGCCGTGCCTTTCATGGTGTTTCTCTCATGCTGCTTCAGTCCCAGAGAGCTGGTTACTTACCCCACTACGTAATTCCCTTTTCATTTGCAGATAAAAGAAATATATTGCTCGTTCTTCCTTTAGTTAGTTTTTTTTTTTTAAAATGGAGGTTCAGAGTGTTGAAAGGTGAGATTTTGTAACCTTGTTTTTTGTCCTTCTGTGTTTAACCCTTTTGAGTTCCTTCTGGATTTATAGTTAAATCTGGATTTATAGTTTCCAAACTCATTCTGGGCTTTGTTAATTCCTTTTGTTTTATTCTGTATTTTTTTTTCTTTTTACATGTTTCTGTTGAATTGTGGTTCTTTAATGAGGGGGGTGAGGGAGTTACTATTGAAAAAAAGGAGGGGTGAGTTTGAGGTTTCTATGCTTTGAATGAGCATTTGTTTTTAATGTTATTGGTTTTTTTGATTGTGTTGGAAATTCCTTGAGGTTCTCTAAATTGTGTTTTTGCTGTGCCATCTAGTGCTGATTCCTAACATTTGTTGGTAACAGAATTAAATGCCTGGTTGTTCCTAAAATTTTAGTCCCAGCTTTAGATGAATCAAGTGGAATTGGGGAGGCCACTTTCCCTTTGCTATATAGCACACATGCAAAGGGGAGGGGAGTTGTTTTTTTTTTGTGTGTGTGTTTTATGAAATTTGCTCTATGGGTTCCATAGTCATGGATTTCAGAACTTTAGGGTTCATATATATTGTGGCTCTGCAGAGAAGAAGGTTGTGTCTGGCTAAAATATATATTTTTTTTATCTTAACTGTTAGCACCGCACACAATCAGGATGGCGATTTTAGTAGATTTCCTTTGCTTCTGGTTTTAACTGCTAATTTGCTAATTAAAGATTCATATTGAGTAAACATGAGTTTAAAACCTTTTCTGCACAATATTTGATATTTTCAACATCTAGGCTCTACAGTGGGCTATGATTGTGGAGTCATTTAACTCTAAATTAATAATGAAGGTGAATTGTACACATCTATATATTCATCCAAATAACATATGTGGTGTATAATTCTTGTTGCCCTTTGTATTTCCTGCTGATTTTTTGAATGCTAAGGTTTTCATTCTTTTTTATTATGCAAATATTAGGGAAAGTGAAATGCAGGTATTGATTTCTGGAATTATTTAAGGCTTTCATCTTACAGGGAACTTGGTATGGTTTTTGTGAGGATTTATGTGCATTAGAGATTAGTTCTTCTTGGATGTATTTGCATGTTTTATTTACTTCCCAGCTGGGGATTTACTCTTGTAGTTGTTGGCATGGACATTTGATTTTGGTGTTTCTCTACTCAGTTTCATATGGTGTTGTGCAATTGCAAATTCTGTTTGTTAAGTGCTCAAAAGTGAAATCTCTTGTTTTCCAAACTCATTTTAGGCTTTGTTCAATTAACGGGGAAATATGCGAGTCAAAAAGCATGACAACACCACCACTTTTAACTCTTTCTTCATCAATGACCTGCCTTCTAGTATCCTTTTTATCACCCTCCCTTTAATCTTCCATAAGATTCTTTGGTATGTTCAGTTTTGTGGACCACCAAAATGTCTTTTTGGGATTCTAATCAAATACAAGAAATGTTCCCTGAGATGCTTATATTGGTATTGTAGTTGTAGAGGGGGGCAAATGAAATCTGCAAGTTCTAATTTTCCTAACATTCTACTGTTGAGATAACTGCTTTCAGATATGTTAATAGTATTTGCCTGCTGATTTCGTCTCTTTTTTTTTTGGTTGTCAAATGGTTGTTGTTCATTGCTCTCTTTGTTAATTCCTTTTGTTTTATTCTTTCAGGTTCGAAGACAATAGTGATCTAGTTGATGCCAGCTGTAAGGATTATGATCTCTTCGAGCATTGAACATGAAAGATTACTTGCTACAAGGCACTGGAGAAATAATGGATTAATATAATTGAGATTTGGAGTGGGGAATGAAGCCATCGGTCCGTGTATCACAGGGTAGATGTATTATATTTGACAGTTTCTGTAAATTGTTAATGGATTCTGAAAGTCTTCTGCTGATAGAGATGATATAAAATTTCTATTTTTTCTTTCAATTTTCACTCCTGTGCTATTATCCATTAATACTCTCTCTCTCTCTCTCTCTCTCTCTCTCACACACACACACACACACACACACACACACACACAAGCACAGGGAGTTTCTTTAGATTATTCTCTCTGTAATAGCATGATTCTTAGGTCCGATAGATAAATTTTGTTGCAGGGCTAATGTTAGTTGGCTTGTGATTTGGCAGAGCAGAGCATATTACTATTTTTTATTACATGTTTTGTTACTAATTCCATTGAGCCCATTGCTTGATGCAATGATGATAATCTCCTGCTTGCAAGTGCCAGGTGCATTTTCAAATTTCAATAGCTGTCAGCGGATGTAAAGATATACTGTGAAGGATGAGACTGTCGGTTCTTTTTGGAAGTTCCTATTAATGACTTGCATTTTGTCAATGGTCGAGTTCATGGATTAGATGGTGGGATGGAGGATACTGCATGGAGAGAAATAGGCTCTTAGTTTCCCCCTTAATGGAAATTAGAGGTTTGCTGAGCTCCAAAAGGGGAAAGAAATTCTAGAATAGGTGTTCCGTTAGTCTTCGGCCTTTGGAGTGAAGGAATGCGTATTGTCTATTGCAATTGAAGATTTTCGGTCAATTCACGAGTCTTGAATGAAATGCAGATGCATCTACAACAGAGCGAGAAATGTCTTGCAAACTTCAAGCCATTGTCTTCTACTGCTGTCAACTCCAGTCACAAAGCGGAATAAATTGCGGAGGTTGTTTCAAACTTTTGGTCTAGTAATAATAGGCGGCATTTGCCGTTCACTGTATCAGAAGTAGCGCGCAATGATATCAGTATGCGCATCACATTAGACATGGAGATAGACTCAACTTATTCAATCATCTGGTTCCTTGAAATTGGACAAGGTGAAGTGGGAAGAGATCAATTGTCTCTGTCGCCTCAATTTTGAATCCTCATGACATCAACATATGATTTTCCAACGAGTTCACGTGATAAAAATCCCTTCAGGAAATCCGCCACTATCATTCTCCTATATGCTGCTGGAGTCTCTGGAGTAACAAGGCTTGGTGCAGGGCCCAGTTCTCCATCTAGATTGGGGCTGTAAAAGGTGGCCATAGAAATTCGCTCTTTCTCTGAGTTAACAGTTGCTCGATGCTCATTGCTACGGTAAATCCCATTAGTCACAATCTGCCAAAAAATAAAGAAAGAAAATTGCTATTCTTAACAACTATCTACAGAGCAATTTTTTTTTATATTTATATATAATGTTAGAAGGAAATGATACGGATCAGCTAAGCCCAAGCATGCATTATTACCTCCAACATGTCTCCAACGTTGATCACGAACGCATTGGGAAGTGGTTGAACAGGGATCCACTTCCCAGATTTCCTTATCTGTAACCCCTCCACCTCACTGACTTGGAGGAGGATTGTGAGGCCAATAGAATCAGAGTGAGAGTTCAGGCCCATGACAAGCTCTGGTTGTGGGCATGGGGGGTAATAGTTCATCCTCATCATCTGGCATCCTTCTTCGAACATGTCTTTTATCTCGTCAGGTTTCATTCCTAGAGCTTTAGCCATGAGATAGAGGATTTTCATGGCAAGATTTTTCAATTCAGCCGAGTATGCTTCCAAAGTATCTCTGCATGCATGCGGAGGAGGATGATATAAAGTACACATTGCCTTAGCTCTTAGCTAAAGTACTGTATGTACTGTAGAACTATTTTTATGTCAGTGTACGTCACGTTTCACATCAACAAAACAAAGGGTAATTTTGCTTATTAGCTAATTTATTTCTTAAAAAAATAACACCTTAAAAAAATTAGTGAAATAGTTCAAAAACACAATATTAAAACCCGTCAAAAAATATATATATTACAACTGAAAAATACAATATTAAAACTTATCACTATTTAAATATATGACATTTTTAAAAAAAATTATGAAATGAATTATATATATTTTAATATTTTAATGAGAAGAAAGGGGAGAGTATATAGAAAAAAATAAAATGCTAGAAGCATATTGAAGATCTTAATTATGATATTATAAGTATCATCAAATTTTTTGAAAAAATAAATTTAATAATATTTAATAAAAGATTTTGAAAAAATAAATTTAATAATATTTAAAAAGGTTATCAATGATAATTACAATGTCACATTTGCGGCAAAAAAATGATATGTGTCTCATTTGTCTTTAACGGTAAGTATGGTCTACTTCAATTACCATTAGTGACTTTTTTGGTATCACTATATTTATTAAGTCGAGATCTTTTTGATAGTAATATTATAATCAGAGCTTTAATATACTTTTAAAGTCTTTTTCTTTTTCCTCTCTCATATCTCTTCATAAATTACAAAGAAAAAAGATGATAGAAAAAAAAAAAAAAAGAAACAAGTTATTGAACTAGAGACACACTAAAACTTTAATTATGAAAACATCAATACCATAACCAATGACTAATAATGATTAGAATGAGTTACACTTGCCGCAAAAGACAAATGAAATATTTACAACTTTTAGATGGCAAGTATGACACACTTGGTTGCCATCATTATTTTCTTTGATGTCGTTAAATTAATATTATCAAGATTTTTTTAATATTAACATTGATATAATAACTGAAGTTTTGTGTACATCCTATGTCTCTTTCTTTATTTTTTATCTCATTATAATTTGTATAGCTTATTTCATATATATTTTTTTAAATATAATGTTTTTAAATAACAAGAAGTTTTAATGTCAAGTTTTCAAATCATAAAATATACTAGATGTCATGTCCACACGATGATGCAGGTTTATAGCATTTTTATGGGTTTGTGAAAAAAAATAAAATAAAAATAATAGGTAGAAAAACTGTTACAATCAACAATGTTTTCAAGAAATAGCTACGAAGCTAAATTTTCAACCAAATTAATATTTAAAAAATTAAATGAACAATTTTTTTTAAAAAATCATAACAAAAAAAAACTGGAAAAAAAATATGCAGAAAAACACTGTAAAAATTTATAGTGTTTCATAAGAAAATCTATAGTTATAATTCTCAACTAGCTTAATATTAAAAATAATAAAATCAATAAAAACAAGTTTAAAAAAATCATGCGAAGGAATATTGTAGCAATCCATAATATTTTTTTTTAAAAACTATAAAACTAAATTTTCAATCATTCAATATGAAAAAAATAAAATCAACAAAAACAATTATAGAACAAATATCATATGAAAAAACACTATAACAATCCATAATGTTTTTTTTTTAAATGATAAAGCTAAATTTTTAACCAACTTCATATTAAAAAAAAATCAACAAAATTGTTTTTGAAAAAAAAACACAACAAAAGAAGAAGAAGAAAATTTTGAAAAAAAACAAAAGGAAAGTTAAGGCTGAATTCTCAACTAGCTCAATATTTTAAAAAAATCGACAAAAATAATTTAAAAAAACATGTGGGAAAATACTATAACAAAACAAAAACAATATGAAGAAATATTTTAACAATTCACGGTGTTTTAAAAAAAGACTAAGAAGTAAAATCGACAAAAACCATTTAAAAAACTAAAAATAAAATTTATATAAAAAAAGCTATGTAAGAAAATATTATAGTAATTCATAATGTTTTAGAAAAAAAACTAAAAAAATAAATTTTCAATCAATTTAATATTAAAAAATAATTAAAAAAATAAAAAAACAATCTTGAAATAAAAAATATAAAGCCCATAAAAAGGATAAAAAAGAAAATAATATAGGAAAAAAAGACAAAAAAAAAAGAGAAGTATATGACATGTGGAAAATTAAAAGTACCTTTCCTATGATTTTTAGAAAAGAAAAGAAAAAAATTCTTTAAAAAAAACTATATAAAACAATATTATAGTAATTCATTATATTTTAATGTCAAATTTTCAAATCATAAAATAATACAGGATGCTATGCCCACTAAATGCCGTGGGCTTATGGCATTCTTGTGCATTATTGTAAGTTTGTGAAAAAATAAAATAAAAATTATATATAGAAAATTATTACAATTCATAATATTTTTTTAAAAAAATTACAAAGTTAAATTCTCAACCAGATTAACATTTAAAAAAAATTAAATGAACAAATAAAATTTTAAAAAATTATAATAATAAAAAACATTATAAGACAATGCTATAACAATATATAGTATTTTATGAGAAAATCTATAATTGTAATTGTAAACCAACTTAATAATAAAAATAATAAAAATAATTTAAAAAAATAATGTGAAAAAACACTATAACAGTTTACAATGTTTTTAAGAAAAAAAATATGAAACTAAATTCTCAATCATGAAATATATAAAAAAATAAAATTAATAAAAAAAATTATGAAAAAAAAAATGTAGGGAAATATTGTGATAATGCATAGTATTTTTTTTTTAAAAACTAGAAAATTAAATTTTCAACTAACTTTATATTAAAAAAAATTAATAAAAAAAACTTCTAAAACAATCACAAAAAAAAAAACAATTTAAAAAAATAAAAAAAAAACATGTGAAAAAATTAAAGTTAAATTCTTGACGAGTTCAATCAACAAAGATAAATTAAAAAAACATATGAAAAAATATTGTAATAATTAACAGTATTTTAAAAAAATTATAAAATAAAATTAATAAAGATTATTTAAAAAAATAAAAAAACATTCATAAAAAAATTATATAAAAAAATATTATAAAAATTCATAATATTTTAAAGAAAAAATTATGAAATTAAATTTTTATTGAATTTAATATTAAAAAAATAATAGATAAAGATAATTTTAAAAATATAAAAAAATAAAATAAAAAAATCTTAAAAAAATATAAAGTTCATAAAAAAATAAAAAAAAAAATAAAAAATATTATGACACGGTAAAAACGACAATACTTTGTTATTCCTTATTTTAGAGTATTATTAATAAATTATATATTTTTTTTATGGATTATGATATTTTATTAATTAAAAAAATACTAATCTTTTTTTAAAATCCAAACAAAATTAATCATTTCTATTGAAAAAGCAAAAACGAAGTC